AAAGTCACAACGTCATGTCTATCATAATAGAATGTAGTCATGTTGAGATTACTACTACTCCTACTCCTTCTCTTCCTACTACTACTACTACTACTACTACTACTACTACTACTACTACTACTAATACCATCACTACTACCTATACTACTACCTCTGTGTTTGAACACATGAAATATGTTATTTAGTCTGGTTAACTTAGCTTTTTTATTTGTATGGTTACATATGACTCCACTGTTTGTGTATATTTCTAGTTTAGTGTGTAAAAGCCTAGGGGAAAGAATGCTCCTTATAATGCTTGGCACAAATGTTTTTATGTGTACTTAAGTAGTTAGATGTAGATGAGAAAGTTTATTCAGTAAACACCATCTACATCATTATTTACATCATTATTCACATCAGCGTTTGATTAGGTTTTACAATAGTCAAAATTATTATTGTAAACACTGAATTAGACTGATTTACTACAAAAATCATTCATTCTTGAATTAATCACATAAATAATGAGGAGAAAGGAACAGAGTGAATTGTATATGTTTGTACAATTTTATGTTTCGAAGTGTCCATGTGTGTCCGTGCATTTGTACTCAACATAAAGATAAGCGAAAATAATGAATGCGAATACGTACCAAATAAACAAAATCGAAGAAGATAGAGTATTGGTAACAGCAGAGAAAATATTTTGACAAATCAAACTAATATACAATTTAACCACATATACGCATACATACACAACAAAAAACAACATGGATTGATAACAGTATAACAAAATCATTTTTTAACATGAAATGACTACGAGAAAATGTTAAGATATAAATAAATAATACACTATAAAGCAGGTCTTTATCCCCCATTTCACGCTAAGCATTATAAATGAATGAAAACAGGATTAAAATAACATAGAAGTAATTATGCTACATCACAACACTGGGGATACAGTATTATCTGAATAATAAACGAATGTGTAAATGTTCATCATAATTGAATAATATAAAATATCTACATGAATAACTGAAACGGTTTACCATCTCACCATATTCTTGGAAATATTATGGGTTTCTGATTTATTCCTTTTTTCATAACACATTATTCTACTGATATAAAACAATAACAATCCTAGTGAATATACTTCACGGTTAATCAGCTAAATTTAGTTATCATTATCATAGTTTTCTTTAGCCCTGTTTTCCTACTCATTTGAATGTCGAGATTATTTTAAAAAGAATTTTCCTGTGGGGAAACATGTCCTCAGTTTATGAGATGTTTCCGTTTTAAGCGTTGCGTTATATTCTGAGATACATTTATAAAATATTTGATCTGTGAAGCTGATGAAGCCTGTTTCACAAGAGTAAGTAAAATTATAAATGTCCATCGTTGTAGCCAAAGGTGGGAATTTATCCTTAATACATTCATCAATGATAGACCAGTTAAGGGAAACAGTATGAAGCTTTGCTAAGTAGGAAGATTTTCTCAGAGATATGAGAAATTCGTTTATTGAAAAATTTTTCTGCAGTATCTCCTTTGAATTCGGTAATTAATAAATGTTTCCTTTAGAAATGTCGATGGTCATTTGTTTGTAGTTCTAGTATTTAATTTCCACTAGTGAGTCTGAATAGATGGACATTTCTGATGCGCATATTTCAAAGTTGAAGTACCTGGTCGTCCATATTCACATATTTATCTGGTCCTCATAAACAAAGAATGATTTAAAACTCGCTTTCTGAACAATGAAACATAGATTAAGAAGTCCATATGCTGATCATTCCATAATGGTTTTCTTTATAAAAATCTCGGCACGGAGCGATATAACATTCTTTCAATAAAGCATCAGCAAAATTAAATTTCGAGGGTTCAGTCTAAGGATAACAAAACTAGTTGATCTAAAGCAGTCATAGAGACCACAGGTGATTACAGACAAATTTTTGTCAACGTCTGTTCGGCTTTATTACTAGCATTCTTTAGATTAATTTCATCAGAGAATTTATGTGCTGCTGAAAACATAGAGAATAAATTATTAGTGTAGACCTGATTGTCTAAGTGGACAATATCAGAGATCGTATACGGTTGACCAAGCTTACTTACTTATGCCTGTTACTCCTAATGGAGCATAGGCCGCCGACCAGCATTCTCCAACCCACTCTGTCCTTGGCCTTCTTTTCTAGTTCTATCCAATAGTTGTTCATTTTTCTCATGTCTATCTCCATTTCCCGGAGTAATGTGTTCTTTGGTCTTTTTCTTTTCCTTTGGTCTTGAGGATTCCAAGTGAGAGCTTGTCTTGTTATGCATTTGGGTGATTTCCTCAATGTGTGTCCCATCCACTTCCAGCGCTTCTTCCTGATTGATTCCTCCGCTGGGATCTGGTTTGTTCTCTCCCACAATAGGTTGTTGCTAATAGTGTTCGGCCAACGGGTCCGAAGTATTTTGCGTAGACAACTGTTAATAAACACCTGTATCTTCTGGATGATGGCTTTCGTAGTTCTCCAGGTTTTCGTCCCATACAGTAGAACTGTCTTCACATTTGTATTGAAAATTCTGACTTTGGTGTTAGTTGACAATTGTTTTGAGTTCCAGGTGTTCTTCAGTTGTAAATATTCTGCTTTCCTCTGCTGAGCTGCGCCTTCACATCTGCATTAGATCTACCGTGTTCATCAATTATGCTGCCCAAATATGTAAATGTTTTTTTATCTTCCAAATCTTCTCCGTCAATTGTGATTGGATGTTCCGTTTGTAGTAATAGCTTAGTTACTGGTCTTTTGTTTGCACGCAGATTAAAAATGTATACAAAAGTTGTTTTGAATCATTAAAATTCCTTACTTGATACAAGGGTAAGGTCATTGGTCTAACAAATTTAGCCTACCAAACGTATCTTAGCGTTTAGCTTACTTAATTTTGTTGAAGTATCCCAAAATTTAGTGATAGTTCTGATAGATGAGTAGCTACTATGAATGATAATAATTTCATTAATAATTCCTATAGTCAACCGATTCCTGAATACATTATCAATTTCTAACATTCATATGTTACAACCATCGAAAATGACAGTAAGAACTATAGGTTTTACTGAAATTGCAAGATACTTTTGATAATGTACTGGAATAGGTCATATTTTATCCAGTAAAAGGAAGATAGTATAACGTAAAACATATTCTTAATTTGTATAGGTCTATTTATAACTAATTATAAATTTGATAGTCCATCATATTATGGACGGACTTTTTGTCGTTTAACAAAGTTTTTTAAAGATCAAGATTACAACATGAATATGCATAGGACACTATGTCTTTTTCAACTGGTTGAAAATAAATATCATAATTAAATTCACTTGTTGTTATTACTTGTATCTTCCCATGGTTATTTAGGACTTCAATTGATCAGCCTCATGATGGCGAATTTCCTCAATATAGCCTTAAGTCACAAGCTTTTTAAGCAAAGATGGATAGTGGCTAGCAGTAGAATCCAGGACGTGTGTTTCGTATATGTAAACATGAAAAGGACGAGACGCGCTTCCTGGATTCTACTGCTGGTCACTATCCATCTTTGCTTAGAACGTTCGTCATAATTGTTTTAACATTTAGATTACCAGGTTCATTGTTCGAATAAACTGTTTCTGTATAGGTTATGTAGTGATTAATTCTTATAAACATTTCCATTTAAGATTAGTGTAGAATTCGATTATTTTGAATACTTAAGACAAAATAATTAACATTCTTTTGTTGTCAATTTCCTACTTGCGTTGATGATTTGATGAATCTACTAACTAGTAGTATGATTAATTGACGATAATGTACAATATTGATAACATTTGTGAAACCTATCCAATTGTTGAAATTCATAATAATTATATCAATCATATAAATCTGAGGTCATGGCTAAAAGTAAACGGGAAGAAGGATATTTCAATCCCTGATAGTTTAATTGCAGAGTGGTATACAAATTTTTTAAAAATCCTTTATTATAAATATAATAAGGCAAATAGGTATGTAAAAACTTCTCAGTTTGAATGAACTGCATGTGGTATACTCTATTTTTTTAATTAAGCATTAGTATGAGATTATTTCCAATCCATTTCAAATAACTTCATTTAACAAATACACGACATCTAGATTAAAAAAATGTCATATTTCTATACGAGAGTATTAATGTACATATTTCCAATAGCGTACTTTCGTCCATAAAAGCACTGAAGTTGTGAACAATCTAAAGTAACTTTGTAAAGCGTAGTATAATGAATATATATGATCAGATAATTAGTCATTAATGAAGATATGCATATATTTAAAAAAACTTCAGGAAATATATCATTTTAACAAATCAATGAACATTTTCCGTTCTTCCATCATATTCCTTATGATCTTAAGTTTTACTTATTTAAAATTTTGTGCCACTGATATGTATAAATTAATATTCTGGCTGTAAAACAAAATCTTAGAATGAAAACATTATGTCGGAAAATAGAAGATATGAAACAACTGGGAAGGATTATCCAGGACAGGGTTGGATAGAGAGTGCTGGTGAGTGGCCTATGCTCCTCCGCAAATGGTGACAGGCACAAGTAAGCAATATATATATATATATATATATATATACGCTACACGCACTATTTCAATTAACTTACACTCAGTGTCAAAATAAGTAACCAATTCGAACAATAAATAACATAACTTATTAAATCAACTTTGACTTGATAGTTAAATACTAATTATTGTACCAATAGTTATAATCATACTAGATACAACATTTCATATTCCCAGTATATTATGGTATGTTAGTAACTTATATAGAATAAATAATTTAAAATAATGCTAAACAGAATTCTTTGCAAATAGAATAATAACTAGAATTTAAAGATTTCTATACCGTTCAAACTTAATAAACTATTGATCTAGTTGTAAATATTTAATTATTCTCTGAATAATATAAACAAAATCGGTAAGAAATAAAATAAACAGAACATATTAAAATACAAATATTCTCTTTATTTATTATTCATTTTTATTCATAGATAATCCTATACAAATATGCATATATATATATATATATATATCACAACTAAAAACTAATTATCTCCTTAATTTTCTTTTTTTTTCCTTTATTATTTCTTATTAAAATTCTGCGTTAGTAATGAAAAATGATTGTGTCGAATAGAAGGGGAGGGAGAGAGGGAGAGAGTGAGAGAGTGAGAGATGAAGGATAATTGTGATTGATTGGTCATATTTATTTATTTGTTACAGGTTAAAATTGATAGTAAATGGTAAATCTCCAGAATAATTGTACTATTCATTATTAATAATTATAATTTATTAATATTCAATATTGAATTCTATATTGTGATGTTTATGCTGCTGATAATGAAAATAGTAATTATGATAATGTTTATTACTATTATTATTACTATTGTTATTATTATTGCTTAATTTCTGTGGGATTTTGTTTTCCATTTATTCTTGACAACAAAATCCAGAGTGATGCAGTACTGTAAATTTTTTTGTGTGATCAAATTTAAACCATTTTACTTTTAGTTAATATAAAGAATATTGATGTATTATTCTGATCGACAATTTTGTACTTTCCCTTTCAATGATAATATTTAATAAATAATTTTAAAACAAAAAGGGAAGAAAGGTACATTAAAGAAAAAAAGATGTACATTACAAGGTGAGAAAATGTCACATATATATGCATATATCACAATATTCATAGAAATAGAAAAAAAAGTGTTTATTGGAATATTACATTGTATTTTTCTTTGGTTTTTCTTTTCATTTTCTTTTTACCAAAAAGAAAGTAAATAAGAATAACGATAATTGATTCAATGAATAAATCATTTATAATACTTAATGCTTTCTTATTTAATCATTCATAAATTTGATTGATAATAAAATAAAAATGTAAAAGATTGAAATTGAAACTAAAATAAAATACAGCAACAATTATTCATCACAGTTAGCATAATTAAATTATTCATAAAGACAATGAACACAGTCAAATGAAACTAATGCATGTATACTTATATATTCACAAAATTACATTGAGATGGAATAGCTTCGTTTATTGAAAGAAAGAAAAAGAAAACAGACAAACAATCAACTACATTTGGAATGGTAATGCATTTTAAAAGTAAAAACAAGATAGAATACTAAGAATTTTTAGATGTCACAGTTAGAGAATAAATTATTATGAAATAGTCTTATATTAATATAAGTTCATTACATAACCCAATAATCTTTCCATTAATGTTACATATATGGCCTATTATTATAAGTAATAATATTATTTATTTTAGAAATAAGCCATATAGAATAAACTAAAGGTGTTATTGAAAGTTTTAATAAGTCAAATACATCAATAAAACTTTGTTAGGATATTGAAATAAGTTAACATTCCGGAAGCACTATCAATCATAGTTAATGTGCGATTTCTCTTTTAAACGTTCTCAATACTTTCAAAGTATACTCACTGATATATTTTTCTTTAAAAAAAGTGTTTAGTTCAACAGAATCAATTCAAACTAAGTAATATAGATAGTTATATACTATTCTTTAAAACGGTTTCTTATTATACTTTTCTGTATGACTTCAGTTTTATTCAAGATAGAGAAAAGATTTCTTATTAAAAGGGATTGAAAAATAAAAGGCAACCTTTTACATTTGATTAAAGAGAAGAACAAATTAAAGAGGTGGCAAGTAAGAGTATCAACAGAAAGTTGTTGTTTTTTTCAAAAAAACACAGCATAAAATATACTTCCTAACCGAAGCTGCCTTACTTTAAAAAAAAAAACAAAATAACGCTCAATAAATAAATTGACTGAAATACAAAGACAATAATAGCAGTAGTAATAGTAGTAGTGCTAAAATCAAGAAAAAATAAAACGATAATAAAAGCCAATAAGATTAATTGAAGATTATCCGAAAAATATAAGAAAGACAAAGATATAGAACTAAACATGTCATGCTGCAATAATGTCAAAGAAATTCAATATAAATATACTGTAAACTAAGCTAATAGAACCTAATGACTTATATCACACACAAATTTTTATTAGTTTTGGTTAAACATAGAGAGCGAGAGAGAGAAAGAAAAAGACAATTTGACATGATTACTTAAGTTGAATCAAATATAAATTTGACTTCAGTTTTATTTCTATTACTATCAATTATTATTTTTGATAAAAACGGTAACAAACAAAAGAAAAAGAAAACACATTGTATATTCACAATTATGTATGCATTAAATTAACAAAATTAGGAAGAGGATTCAATGAAGTATATAGATGGTGAGAAACATGCACAGCCTGCAATAGATTATAAATAGTTTATCAGTTAATTTTGGTTCTTGGTTTTTTATCATTATTTTCTTTTTTTTTAAACTTGATATTCGATTTTTATTTTTGATCTGACATAAAAGAATTAACTGAACATGATGCTGGTGTACCAACATTATCTGAAGCGATTTCATTTCGTTCATCAACTATTTGTAAAATAGGTTCATCATTTTCTGATTCTGAAAAATGTGTATCATTAATTTCAGATTTTGAAATTTCTATACAATAATTAGAATCACATTCATTTGTTATAGAATTTGTTGTAGGTGTAGTAGTAGCTGTTGTTGTTGTTGCAATATCATGATTATGTTTTTGCATTTTCCCAGTTGAACTTAAACGAATTGAATTATTTGTTCGACTTTTAAGTCCTAATAGATTATCACATTCTTCTTGGTCATTTGTACAATTTCTATGTGATTTTAAAGATTCTTGCATAATTGGTGAATTTCTTAAAGGATGTTGTCGACTTCTTTGATTATTAGCAACTCTTCTAGCTTGAACACATACGTCTGTCATACATAAATTAATTGATCCAGTTTTTAATTGTGGATGTCTTTGACGTATAAATACTAAGTATAAATAAAAATAAAACATTTATTATGAAGTTTTATCATCACTTGTAAACATCACATACAGAAAAGATGAAATGCAGCTAGTAGTAGAATTCATAATTCACGTTTCGCCTTACTACTGATAAAAATTCAGTAAAAATATAAACAATGAGATAATTCAAATCACCACAAATAAAATTGCATTTTTTTTCTGTTTGGATATACACATTTGATTTAGACTATACTTGTACTAGGACTCCACTAAAAGTCACAATAGCTGCTACTACCTAGCACTTTATTAATTGAATCTAAAAGACTACTGACGTTTCTTGTTTTACTTATCTGACTATTTGAAACTCTGCAAAACTTTCAAAAACATCCAAGTATCTGTTTGAATTTTTGTTCATTTAGTACAAACAAAGCTTTATGGTTGACCATTGAGTATTGTCAATCACTTATAAATAAAGTACATATTCATAATAGGGATAATGACAAAACATCTCTTATTAGAAAAAAAAACCTAACACAAGTAAAATCAAATGTTACACTATTTCATAATTCTAACTTTGTTATATAATATTTATCAATCACAGTAACTACAATATAATGATGAACTAATAAAGTTCTTTATTACACTTCAAATAAATAAACAATATCTCAATCATTTTCATTTCAAATTAAATATACCTTTTCATGTCATGAATTTTGTAATTTATCATTTTACCAAACGAAACTAAAATTGTTTAATTCATCATCAATAAAAGTAGCAATGACATGAAAAGCATAAAATACAAAAAAGAAAGAAAAAAAGAACAACAATAATAAAACTATACCAAAAAGATATATTTATATGTGCTTATATAATTTCCAAATGAAGAATGCTTAATTGGTTTTATTATCCAATTGTTGTTGCTGTTGTTTTAAATTTTACAGGAAATGAAAAAAATTTACGGATGTAAAAGAAGTGAGATGGAAATCTCATGTAATTTTAATAATTATTCAAATTGTGCGTGTTCTTTAATCTTGTAATTTCTTTTATTCGGTTGCTGTTTATCATTATTTCTGTGTTCACGTTTATTTATAAATTCAAAATAAAAAGAGGAGAGGGGAGGTGAGATTGTATAATCAATTGTACATTGTGTATATATCGGCTTATGAAGATAATTTCTCTCTTTTTTTCGAAAAACAATTAAAACTTTTCTTTTTTTCTATATAAAATTAATCTTTGCTAAAGAAAATTAATTTATCTTTTTGTTATAAAAAAAAGTAGATATGGTGTTATGAAAGAGACTTCCGGAATGTTAATTATAAAAACACTATGAATACGGTTAAAAAAGAGATTTTTAAGTTTATCCTGTATAATCACTATACAGATGGATATAAAAAATGGTGAGAATTTTTTAGAAAACTAAATTTTAAAAATAAAAAGACGAGATGAATTTACTTAAGTGCGATTAGATCTAAACTACTTTCAATTGTAATACAAAAGTGGGAAATCCTCATTTATATGGCAATAAAAAGGTGAAATAAAATGGTTTATATTTTCTAGTGCAATAATAATAAAACAATTAAGATCAATAATATTATCAATTAAATATAACACTAACTCATGTTTAAATAAGATTTAAAGGATAGAAATGTATAATACTTAACATTCTTGTATAGAAAGTATTACTTTTCTGCTATAAGTCAATTACAATAGATGATATTTTATGGGGAATCATGCCTATAAATTAGTTACTACTATCACAAAAATACATTGAATTATGTGAGTTGATTAGTTTGGTAGATTTAACCATCTTATGGAACGTAAAATAATAAAAACCCTTCCTCTAAGCCACAAATCTTTTCTAGTATCTTAATATAGGCTATTGTTATTAAATGATTAAGTTGGGGGGGGAATGCTAAATTTAACATACACTTCAAACTACTTATAAGTACTGTATGCTCTTGACTAGAAATTAAAGTTATTTTGTTTTATTTTATTAAAACTACGATCACTCTTGAAATAATTAACTGAATCAGTAGTTACAAAGTGTGTGTTGAAGTAAATATTAAAAAGTTGTAAAAGACGTCAAACTTGAACCGCAAAACAATCAATTTTATATTTTAAGGATCAATGACAATACGTGGTATTGAAAAAAATGGTTCTCATGTTTATAATTGTAAGTGGCAAGTTAATTTAATATTTTGTTCTAACTCACTATAAATCTGCCCAACCATAAAATGTAAAAAAGGGACTTCAGATAAATACTCTAAATACATTGAGAATTTCATAATATTTGTTTAGTGTATTATACATGCAAATTTTACAGCTGATTTTATTATTGTTTTGCTTAAAATAAAAAAGAATACTTTAATTTCAAAGTATAACTTCCAGAATGTTCAATATTCGGTTTCGTTTCCTTTCATTATTCTTTTTATATTTTTTTATTTTGAATTATAGAAAAATAAATGGATGAGAATTAAATACCATCTGACGTATAAACTAATTGTTCAATGAAGCTGAAACTAAAAAATATTATAGGTTAATCATCTTTTTAAAACAAAGAATTGGCGTTTCACTCATAAATGTTATCCACGTGGTTAATCGTACAATGATATATTTTATTGAATTAACCTATGTATAAACTATATAACGTTGGCTAATATCTCAATCTTAACATTTCGTTCTGTTCAGACAATCAATTTATCAGTACAAATCTTATAATTGGTAACTTATAATTTTAGTTGTATACTAATTATTATGTTTATCTATTCATGCTTCATTCATTAAATATGGATATCTTGAATGTGAAGCCCACTAAACATAAAACGCTAAATTTACATAAAATATTTATCTATTCTCACTTTTATTATTAATTTCATTCATTTACCTAGAAGATACTGTGGTGTGTGCTACTTATATTGAAATAAGTAGTTTATGATGATAGTCAGGAACAGAATGTATGGCAGCAGAGAGATAAGAGGATTGGACAGCAAAGAATGAAAACAGAATGCAATTTGTATGAAAATGAAAAAACAATGAAGTCTGGGACATTTTGAGATAATTGATGGTCATTTTGCAAATTGAGCCTTTACTATATGGTTGTTAGATTTTATTAACAAGTTCTGCAATTTGTTGTGAAGTATATTCGATTGTCCCCCACTCGTGTTCGTGTTCACGACAATACAAGTAAACAATACCAAGCGTATTTATCTACCGATTTGTTTTGAAATTTTCTGCATTAGTCTACTGAAATTTATCATGTTTGAAATAGTAATTCAGAAAACAAAGTACACTGAAAATGACTTAGTTCTATACTGTTTGTTTATTTAGTCTAAAACAGTGGTATTTTACAACATTCAAATAAATTTCAGTTATGTTAGTTTATTGCAAAAAATAAATCCTTGTGAATTTCATGACAGAACTATTAATCGGTAACGAATGAATAATTATGAAGAATACATAGATATGACAATTTTCAGAATATTCATAACAAATAAAAACTTTCAACAACTCAGTGGATGTTAGAATTAACATCTATTAAACAATACCAAGAGCATAAACAGTTGTTGCATAATCATATGTCTAAAAATTAATTTATTATTCGAATTCATGAGTCAATTAAAACTACACTACCATGGAAAACCTGGAAGCATTGAGCAGCCGTTTCGTATTAGTATGGGACTCTTCAGTAGTGTGCATCCAGGAGTCCACTCAGTGGATTTAAACCCATGACTTTCGATCTTGCACGCAAGTGCTTAACATCTTTATCTCAGAGATGGCATCCAACGGTGTTAATAATTCTATTCAACCAATCCATGAAATGTCGCGACTATCTTCTATTGTCTTCGGTGGGCAATCAAGGATATCTACAGTATTAGCTATTTTATGTAACTAGTGGGAATAAATACATTATGATCTGTAATTAGTTGCTTTTCAATGAAATTAGCTCAACTGGGAAATAATATTATTTTATTATGAATGGTTAAAGAAATTGTTTTTTACTATAGTAATTAGTATTCTTTGAAAACTTCCAATGACAATAGTAACACTTGTCAATGTTACTTTTCAAAATTCTATGGTTGAAATTTTAAGTAAATGATCGAAATTGATTTTCTTAATTAAACAAAATCATTGAATTAAAGTCAACTCCATCAGTATCCTAATAAAAATCATACTAATTAAAAATTTTAATTTTGTTACAAACTACGTTACAACTCAATAATTTCCAGTCTTGTTAGATAACAACTACCATTTGTTACACTTAGAAAATCATTACAACAAAGCAAATTCATTTTACTATACCATAGTTTAAACATACCCGACATAATGAAACCAACAAAATGAAACCATCTTAAATATCTCCAATGTGTTTATATTGACTGTCATAATCTTGATCGTTATAACTAAAAACTAAACAGATAATCTTTATCTCATTTCTCAATACAGACACAAGTAATTTGTAATTAAGTTAACGTAATAATGAGATAAACACATTTTGGTAAATAAAAATACATTGTTTACAAACAAAAAAAACACATTCTGATACAAATCCTTCCGATTTGCTTGAAATGAAATAACATACCTAACTTAATGAGTATAGTTTAGACTGAACTTTCATAACAGATCTGCTTACAAAAATGCTATCAATACAATAATCTGACTTTAAAAATTACCCTTGTTAAATGTATAACCTTATATGGAATAAACAGTATTAAAAGTTGTTGTTGTTGTTTTTAATGAAGAAACCAAGAAAGTAGGTGCTTTAATTTTACAAATACCGATGTATGTGTTTAAGAAAAATAATAATAATGAGAGGTTCAGTGGATAAAATTTAACAGTATATATAATTGCATGTGAGTAAACTCATTAGAGTATTTCAATTTTACCGCCATGATCAAATTCTTTATCAATAAACTGACAGTATTCATGCTTTATTTGTAACTAGTTTAAGAACACATTTATTATGGTTGATATTATCATGAAAATTCTAACTATTGTTATTAGGTTAAATCAACTAAAAACATATTGA